TATCCTGGACTTCAGGAAAGCTGATTTCAAAAAACTCAGAGAAATATTAGGTAGGATCCCGTGGCTGGAAATGCTAAGGGGGAAATCTACACAGGAAGGATGGGTGATGCTGAAAAATGAAGTGCTTAAGGCACAATCGCAAACTGTTCCGGTAAGAAAGAAAGGTGGGAGATGGGCAATGAAGCCAAGGTGGCTGAACAAGGAACTCTCAAATAAAGCATTGCTGGTCTTCTTTATGTACAGGAAATGGAAAGAGGGTTAAATTACTGAGGGTGAGTACAAGAAGCAGGCTCGAATCTGTAGGGATAGTGTCAGAAAGGCTAAAGCGCAGATGGAGCTGAGGCTTGCAAGGGATGCTAAAAATAACAAGAAAGGTTTCTATGCCTATGTTCAGAGCAAAAAGAAGAAAAGGGATGGGGTAAGGTCATTGCTAGGGGCAGACAGTCAAGCCTTAACAAGGGATGAAGACAAAGCGGAATTACTCTCACTTTGTGTCAGTCTTTAACCGTAAGGCGAGCTATATACAAACTGAAGAATGCAAGGCATATGAAGGAAAGAGGAAGTGCCAGTCCAGAGTAAGTAAGGAGATGGTTAGAGAGCATCTAGCTGCCTTAAATACTTTCAAATCTCCAGGGCCAGATGGCTTGCATCCCAGGGTGCTAAAAGAAATTGCAGATGTTATTTCAGAGCTTCTGGCTCTAAACTTTGAGATGTCCTGGAGTACAGGTGTTGTGCCGGAAGACTGGAGAAGAGCAAATGTTCTCCCGATCTTCAAGAACGGAAAAAGACAGACACAGGAAATTACAGGCCTGTCAGTTTGACATCAATACCTGGGAAAGTTCTAGAGCAGATTATTAAACGCTCTGTCTGTGAGCACCTTGAACGGAATGAGTTAATTGGTAGTAGCCAGCATGGGTTTATCAAGAATAAGTCATGCCAGACCAACCTCATCTCCTTTTTTGACAGAGTTACTAAAATGATTGACTCTGGCAATGCTGTGGATATAGTGTAT